ACTGAAAATTATATTTTTGCAAAAATACACAAAATCACGTTTACGTGCCAAAACCGTAAAATGTTTTAAACCTTATAAAAATTATATTTCATGAAATAAAAAATTTAAATGTAAAAAATATTAATTTATAATTTGTGGTGTTTATTGTTTTAATAATTAATTAAAATTATTATAATTCATATTAATGTGAAAAAGTTAGATCAAAACATGGGTATTTTAATCATTTTTAAAATCAAACCCACCTATATGAAAATGAAAAATGGAGAAACAAACACATATTCATTTAAATGGATCATCTAGATGAATCTTCGTTTAGTCATTTAGCATTCAGATGGATTCTTCTGAATGGATCATCTGGATGGAGATGCATTCTATTCTATTCTATTAAAAGTGAAACATTTTGTATATGATGATCAATTATGATAATTTTTTTAAAACACACGGGTCTTAAAAATAGTATCCACCCGTTTGAAAAAAAAAAAAAAAACGTAGTATATTAACATAACTTTGTTGGTTGAACAACTGATAACATGTCGAGGCCCGAAATTAGTGTTTGCGAGGCCTATATAAACAATATATGATCGGAAAAAATGAGTACCATAATCAAGAGCAAAATATTCCCATATCATTATATAGGACGTGATTTTTGGCATGATGAGGTAATCATTTAAAGCATTAAATTCTTAAACTCAATAATCCCATAAATTCAGAAACAAATTAACCATCTAAAATATTTTCTGTTTTGTAAAGTTTTTTTTTTTTTTTTTTTTAACGCTTTTCATTGCATAAATATTGAACCAAAGAAATCCAATACATGAAAGAAACCAAAAATACATGAAGCAAAGGAAGAAGGTTGAAGGTAAAGAGATCAAAAGAACCACGAGGAGTAACTCAAAAACTCATTCTTTTGTCCCTTTCAATACGATCTTGAAGCCAAGTCGGTCCTCCTAAAGCCAAATAAGACGTTAATCTTCCATCTCGCGTAACGCTGCAGGCAATCTCCTTAGCTAAGACATTAGCTTTCGGCGAAGAGAGGTGGAAAGAAACCTCACGCATCACCCGTACTACCTGCCAAATCTTTGAAGTCTGAGAACGATACTTAGGCCAAGCGAGGGGATTAGAAATAGCTTCCCAAGCCCCATGACAATCCATCCAAACCTCACATGAAAGGACCCTCATCTCAAGCAGACTACACAAACTCCATTGGATACAACTCAACTCCGAAGCAATGCGATTAACCCGGGGCAAGAACGCATCTCTTGCATGATATAACACATCGCCAAGATGATTCCGCACTATCCAAGCTCCACCACAAAAAGAATAATCATTTATCCAAGAAGAGTGAACATTACATTTTAGCTTACCAACGGTTGGTTTACACCAACGGGTGTCTAACCCAACAACCCGTCGTCCATCCGTATCATCCGTAGAGACGATCCTTTCTTGATGTTGACACCATTCTAACATCTCATCTTTTGCCAAAACCCAAAGAATGTGAGGGTCGCTTACTCGTTGGGCAAAGACCAAACCATTCCTAGCTTTCCAGATCTCCCAAAGTAACCATGGAATGGCTTGCCGTGACTGAAGAGAAACCTCAGATTTACCCATGATCATGAAACAATACTCCACATTCTCGACAGTCGATGAGGAAAAACCATTGGCCGGAATAGGTAAGCCACTTACACTCCAAACTTGCTGTGCTAGTTGACAACCAAATAAAACATGAGATATGGTTTCTTCTTCAACCTTACACACTTGACAGAGAGGGTTAGTATTAATGCCGTGACGTCTTAGACACTCACTAACCGCGATAGCACCGGATAACACTCTCCAAAAAAACATCTTTATTTTTGGAGCTGTGTGAAAAGCCCAAACTTTCTCTTTCACGGCATTGATGCGTTTTGTACTTTCCTCCACAGAATCCACAACTTCATGTTCTTGAGTAAGTAGCCAATTACCACTTTTAACCGAGTAGTTTCCATCTCTAGTGTATGCCCAAACCAATTTATCATCCAGCTCCACAGCCGGGGGAAAGGAGCATATTCTTATAACATCACAAGGAGGAAAAAGCTCATTTAAGAGTTGTAGATCCCATTCTCCTTGAGGAGTTATAAGAGAAGAAACTTTTAATAAGGTATTCAACATTCCTTCTTTATTATATGGTCTTCTAGGGCAGCTATCCATAAGCCATTTATCCACCCATACAAATGTAGTCGCACCATTCCCAATTGTCTTCATAAGTCCGCGTTCAAGTAGTTCTCTTCCAAATATAATGCTACGCCAAGCATACGACGGTCTATAACCAATTTTTGCCTCTAGAAAGGATCTATCAGCAAAATATTTCCCTTTATAAACGCGAGACAAAAGAGATTCAGGATGATGAAGCAACCGCCAAGCTTGTTTGGCTAACAAAGCTTGATTAAACTGACCAATATCCCGGAAGCCCAAACCTCCCCGAGATTTAGACTTACAAAGCTTCTCCCAAGACACCCAATGCATCTTTTGATGATCCTCACTCGCATTCCACCAGAAGTTAGACATAGCTCTAGTGATATTCTTACATTGGTGCTTGGATAAACGAAAACAAGTCATTGCATAAACCGGAAGAGCCATGGCCACCGATTTTAGAAGGACCTCTTTACCGCCTAAGGAGAGAGTCTTCTCATACCATCCACTTAATCTTGTTTTCAACCGATCACTAATATAACTGAGGAGTTCTGACTTAGAACCACTAAAACATTCCGGAAGTCCCAAATACTTCCCCGCTCCACCCTCTTGAGTTATATCGGTTAAAAGACTAAGCAAGCGCCTCATATACGGATCAATCTTCTTACCAAAAGTTATAGATGATTTCTGGAAATTTATTTCCTGCCCCGAAGCTCTCCCATAAAGCTGTAAACAGTGAAGAAACTCCGAACACTCGGGAAGTGTGGCTCGACAAAGAAATAAACTATCATCCGCGAAAAGAAGATGTTGAACCGACGGACAAGCAGGAGAAAGCTTTATCCCCGTAAGACGACCTTCTACCTCAGCCTTATTCATGATGTGTACAAGAGCCTCCGCACACAAAATAAAAAGAAAAGGCGATAACGGGTCTCCTTGACGGATTCCTCTCTCTGGTTTAAAGTAACCATACGAAGAACCATTAATGAGAACTGAATATGAAACTGTATTAACACAGCTCATAACCCACTGAACCCATCTAATATCAAAACCCATTCTTATCATTAATTCTTCAAGGAAGCTCCATTCAACCCGATCATAAGCTTTTGACATATCCGTCTTGATTGCCATAAAATCTTCATTGCAAGTTGGGTTTGTTTGTAAGGCATGAACCATCTCATGAGCAAGCAGAATATTATCTGATATCAACCTCCCAGAAACAAATGCACCTTGTGTATCCGAAACAATATCCGGTAAAAACTTCTTTAGTCTATTGCATAAAATTTTGGAGACAATTTTATACAAGACCGAACAAAGGCTAATGGGACGAAGGTCAGTCATATGAGATGGATTCGGCTTCTTTGGGAGTAAGCAAATTTGTGTAAAATTCGACTCTGAAGGCAGAGAACCCGACTGGAAGAATTGTTGAACCTCATGGATCACTTGGGGCCCAACTATACTCCAATACTTGTGGTAAAAATGACCCGACATCCCATCTGCCCCGGGGGTACTCTCTCCTCTTATACTAAGAGCCGCTTGTCGAATTTCCTCCCCCGAAACCGGCTTGATTAAATCTTCATTCATGGCATTAGTGACCCTTGGTACTAGCCCATCCAACGCTTCCATGGCAGCCGTGGTCCGTGTGCTTGTAAACAATTTCCTGAAGTATGAAACCGCAACTTCTCCTTTAGAGCCCTCAGAAAATTGCTCCACGCCAAACTCATCAAACAAAGATAAAATTCTGTTTTGCACTCGACGTTGCTGTACACTGCCGTGAAAGAATTTTGTGTTTTGATCACCCTCTCTTAGCCATCTTTCCTTGCTTTGTTGTTTCCAAAACAACTCCTCTTCCCGGTAAGCTTCAATAATGTCCCACCGTAATGACTTTAATAAATTAAAATCTGGTAGTATTTTAGAACTCTCCAACTCTAGAAACTCCCGTAGTGCCGTTAGTCTCTCTTTAGAGTTTTGATTAGTCTCTTTCTTCCACAAAGAGATCGACCTTCGACAGTTTGCAATTCTTTGCATCAAAGAGACTTGTCCCACATCCTCACCACTACTCCAACCTACGCGTACCACATCAGCAAACCCCGGTTTTGAAATCCACCGTTTGTTAAAGATAAATCTACCACGACGAGAGATATTCTCATTAACAAACCGAGTGAATATAGGTCTATGGTCAGAGCCAATTCTCTCCAAATATTCAGCTTGAACTCGTGGAAAGGTTTGGAACCACGCCTCATTCCCTAAAGCCCTGTCTAAACGACATTGTATCCACATCTTGTTACGCTCTCCAGCCCAAGACAACTTATTGCCAATACTCGGAACCTCCCGTAGACGGCAATCCCTTATCATATTCCTAAAAGGAAAAAAAGAAGATTCCGCCCGTGTTGGTCCCCCCAACTTTTCAGAATTATCAATAATCTCATTAAGATCACCAACAACAAACCATGGCTCATGTCTAGAAACTCCAATGTCTATTAATTGATCCCACACTCCTTGCCTTAAATGATGCACTGGATCTCCATAAACACAAGAGACATAAAATCCTATAGAACCAAGTTTAACTTCCACATCAATAATTCTGGAACTATAGCTTAACACTTGAACCTCATATGATGCCTTCCAAAACAAAGCAAGCCCTCCACTCAAACCAACCGGATCAAAAATGCAAGCATGGTCGTAACCTAATGAGCGCTGCAAATTCACGACGTGACTACTGGAGTTTTTAGTCTTCAGGAGGAACAAAAAATCCGGGAAATGGTCACGCCTCATTTCCCTCAAAATAGGAATTGTCAAGTTGCCCCCCAAACCTTGACAATTCCAACTCATGAAACTCATCTTTGCTTCGGTGGTTCCGTGTGTTTTGCAACTTTAGCCGACCAAACCCCCTCCTGAACAGCTTTACGCTTCGAAGAAACACTTTCTTCACCAACCCGAACCACAGCTTGTGTATTTGCAGCCTTTGCTTTCAAAGCTTGAGCCTTACGTTTCCACTGACTTGGACGTCTCCTTTGCTTCGGTTTATTTGGCCTAGTCCCGGATGAACCAGCTGAAAAGCTAGCCCTGAAACCCGTAGAACCCAAATCATGTTGAGAAGCCGTCGCATAAGTGGCAGAACGCGACTGCATTGGCTGAGAATTAATCGTCATTGCCTTCCCTTGATCCACAGCCGCAACAATACCATTTCCTTCTTGTTCTGAACTCGTGCCTACTCCTTCAAAATTAAACACCAGACCCTTTCCTTTATTCACATCCGCTGTGAACTCCGTTGGCGTCTCTAGCCTGAGCAAAGACTTTTGCCCTTGTATGTCTCCTTCTAAATCCCAGACAGATTTCCGGACCCTTGCAATGTGAATTTTCTTTAACTCCGGATCTGCGACTGACAAGTATTGTCGCATTTCATCAAGGACTTCCTTTGCTATTTTTGGTTTTCCCGTTGCAAAATCAATTCCCACATCTTCATTGGTTAACACACCATAAAGAGGATCATCTTTACTAATCTTGGGAATTAATCTCGCCGGAATGACCGTTATCGATTTACCACCTCCCGTAGCAATGTCTTGCCGGTTTGAGGGATTAAAAGGACACCGTTCTTTGTCGTGAGTCAGCCTGAGACACTGGTAACACCTACGCCTTATTCTTTCATATTCAATACCAATAGAAGCAATATATCGTTTGCTATAATCACATTACACAACAACTATCCAAAATATCAAGCCTAAAATGTCCTACATAAATAACGCAAGAATAATAATTTATATTTAATAATATCTAATAAAAATAATCATATATATATTAGAAAATGAATATGATATTTTATGAAAAAATAATAATAATAATTATGCTAGATTAGGAACAAGCGACAAATAAAATTCTACATAGCATAAAATGTGGAGAAATATAAAACATAAATAATTATATCATTAAATTTTTTAAAAAATATATAATCTAAAAAAACAATAACATTTTATGTAATCTCACATCAATAGCCAAACCTCCTTAAAAACATATGTATCTGATATCTTTTTTTTAAAAAATTTCGGATCTTTAAATTGTCAAAATCTTCTGTTTGAATCTTTCCAATTAATTTCCAGCATATTATATATTTTTAAAAATACTCAGAAAATCTATTGAAAACAAATGATCTCCATTAATTAGCACATATATAACAACTCAATCAATAAAATATTAACTATATTTGAGATCTTTTAAATATATAGCAATATAAAAATTCAGAATCTGAATCTTAACAGATATGATTTTAAATACTAACGATATTTTGATTTAAAAAAAAAAATTTATTAACCATGTCTACTTACCAAATTTGCACACAATAATAATTACTACCACCTAAAATATAGTCATTTCCAATAGGAAAAAAACGTACGTAATTTGATACATAAAAATATCATCTAAAATATTCATGATAGAATATGGGACAAAAATTTTAGCTAACACGAATTCAAGAACATACTATATCGTTCTTTTTTGTTTAGAGTTATTTAAAAACAAATCAAATATTTAACAGGTACGGGTTTAGATTATAAATGTTAATAACATTCTTAAGAGTTATGTTTACAAACATACCCGTACGTACCCAATATATTTCAAAATTTAGTAACAAATTTTATTTTGAAAATCAATCCCGCACGTAGTTGCAGGTCTAAATATAGTATAATGTAAATTTGGAAACTTAAATTCCCTAACCGTTGGTAAAACTTAGGAAAGTAGTCACAACATAATAGCAAAATCGACTAACTATATCATAGATTGGTAAATGGTCGCAAAAGAAGTCGCAAACTCGCCGTTAAAGAGTAGTAAAGAAGTGACAACTAATAGGAGTCCCAAACAAGTGGCAAAATCGTCGCACATTGTAAAGATTTTTATTTATTATTAATGCATAAATGACATGGAATTAATTAAAATTTTATTTGAAGAATAATATTTGTTAGTAATATTTTATTTTATCATTAATTTATATATTTAATTCGAAACATATATTTCAAATTTCATTTTTATCCAAAAAATATTAAGAGATCGAATGAAAGATTTATTTTGAATTATATTTCATATCCAAAATATATATTTCATTTTTAATCAAATATTTTTTATAAGAAAATACAATGAAGGATATATATATATATATTGAATTATATATTTCATATCCAAAAAAGAAAGGTATATTTCATCTTTCATTTCTATCTAAAAATTTTAAGAGATCCAATGAAAAATATATTTTGATTTACAAATTTCATATCCAAAAATTGTATTCTAATTTTACCCAAAACTTATAAGAGATCCAATGAAAGATATATTGTGAATTATATATTTCATATCTAAAAATGAATATTGAATTATGAAATATATATTTTGGATTAATGATATAAATTAATAATACAATGAAATAGTAAAATAAAATATAGATTATATATTTTGAATTAAAGAAGATACAATGAAATATTACTAACAAATACTTTTCTTCAAATAAAATTATATTTAATTTCATGTCATTTATACATTAATAATAATATATAAGTGAATAAGGGTAAAATTGGAATATATATTTTTTGAAAGATCGTAGGTAAGAAAATGACAATATTTAATACTTTGGGTATTAAATTACACATTTTTATTATTTTAGATAAAAGCAAAATCTTAAATTCTACACATATGGTCAAAACTGTTACTAGAAATCACTCACAAGCACTCATATTAGTAGTAAGTTCAAGTATTAGTAAAATTGGTAAATCTATTTTTTCACAACTTTTATTGTTGAAATTTTCCTAAATTCTTACACATTCTCATAAAGAACATATAACACTAAGATTTGAAAATTATGCATGTTTTGTTTGTAAACATAAAAATTTAAGACTTTGACAAAGTTATTACAACTAAGTTCGATAAAATCAAAGCATAAAGATGTAACTAAACATGTAAGTAAATTCCAAATGTGAAACTTTAATAGAAAAAATTCGAGTGGGTAAGTAGTCTCAACGTAGTAGCTAAATCTGGTGTTAGTCGCAAATCCTTTATTTGTTAGTCGCAAAAGAGTCGCACAATTGCAAATAATTAGTGACAATCATTACATTATTGTACGGTTTGATATAAACTTTGTGACAGTGGTTTGCAGGCAATTGATTAAGAGCATGATCCCAGAGGATATGTGAGCTCTCATGTTTTCAAACCTCTTCTCCTGGTTAAGATTTTTGTTTTGCTTGAGGACAAGCAAGAATCTAAGCCGGGGGGAGTTGATATATTGTGTTTTTATCGGTTTTAGTCTTTCTTTTCTCTTTCATTTTATAACTTTTATTGAGTCAAAGTGTGTTTTTAGATTCTTTTAGTGCATTATAGAATCTTTACAGGTTTTAGGTTGATTTGGAATAAAACGAGCTGTTTTGGGATGGAAACACACATTTGGAGATGTAGATTCAAGTAGAAGTGTCAAATGTTTGGGAGACGATGAATAACTTTCCACGTTAGATCTTTCTCATATTTTGACATAAAATGAAGACAAATGTTAACTATCATTTGAAAGTAATTTCAAGGATATCTAACGGTGCATTCAAGAGTTACACCCGATTTCGTGAAGACAGGTCATTCTGACGAGTTGTTGAAGCTGATACAGAAGTAAAACCTGGGAGCATCCGACCAATCGGTCTAACATTTAGAACGATCGGTCCCTTACTTCTGACGCATTTTTTGGCCCATATTCCATCCGAAACACTTCAGAACCGACCCAAATAGGCTCGACCTTTTAGCAGCCATCCTTCATATTTTTGAGTTCTAAATATTGTTTTTTCCTTTCTAAAAAATTTTGGGAGAAGAATCCATCCTCTTGACACTTGGAGAAGATTTCTAAACCTTTTCTTATTGTTTCTGAAATTTCATCATGTTTTCGTCATCTATGATTTTTGTTTTCTCTTTTGCTATGTTTGAGTAGTCTCTTAATTGGGTTTTAGGGTTCCAAGTAGGGGAATTCAATGATTTGATAGATTAGATGTCTTAGGGAATTCTTAATCTTTAGGTTCTTCAGTTTACATGTTCTCAATGCTAGAATTGGATTGATCACCATGTTTTAGAACTTAGCCTTTTATGTGTTTCAGAGATGTTCGATAAAATGCCTAAATGAATGTAAATTGAGCATTGTACTTCTAACATGCGAGAGTTGATGTTAGAATGCTTTGTGAACCAAATGAACATGTTTGATAATGCGAATTTGGCTAGGAAATTACAAATGAGAGTTTAGTAATTGAATAGTTGAATTTAGTGATTAATGTCTTGACAGAAAATTAGTCTAAACTTCTGTTCATGTTCAAGAACGATTCTTCATGATAGAAATCCTTATAGCTTTTATTTGTTATTCATTGATTCTCTGAAAATACTCTGCAGCCCAATGTATTTAATTTATAAGTTAAATCTCAGTTTATTTTTGCATTTTTATTTACAAACTGAAAAACCAAACAACAAGTCTTTCCGCTTTAGCTAAGAACGAGTCTCGCAAGTCTTTAGTGTACCCTTGCTCCCTGTGATCGATCCCGCATAAACTTTACTTCGGTTAAGTTATCGGGTTAAATACTCGAGTAATCAAGTTAGCGCCGCTGCCGGGGAGCAATTGCGTTACCTAAAGATTTATGATTAGTTTTTAGTCTAGATCATTTTCTTTGCAGTTTTTTTTTAACTAACAATTTTTATTTCTTTTTGGTGATTTAGGAGTTGTTGGCCATGGAATTCAATGATTGGCCACAAGAAGAAGAGGATGAGCCATATATAGAGCCACCATTTGATGAGAGTGTTCTTACACCGGAACAAAAAGTGAAATTGGATGAACTTTACGTAGAGAATCCAACATTGACAAGGAGTGACTTAGCGACTATGATCCGGTTGAACCTCATATCGTTGCGGGCAGCATATGAAGGAAGGCAACTCACAGGCTATGAGATCAAAGAAGCCCATGATCTTGAAAAGGTAATATATTGGGTTCCACCGAGCAACATAGAAGGTACATGCGTTTCAACCCTTGAAATTCATGATTTTGAGTATTTTGCTATGCCTTGCATTGAAGATGCTGCTTCTAGTTTGCATACTCCCAAGATTATCAGTGAATGTTATTATTTGATAGGTGAGTCTCAACAGCTAGATACTTTTAGAGCAGAAAAACTTGCTAGAGATTACCATGAGATATGTTTTGATATTGAATATCATTGTGCTTTGAATTTCCATAAACTCGAGTTTAAGTTTTCAATGCCTGAAATATCTAGATATCTTCTTGAAGAATCTGAGTTAGGGGTTGTGCTAGATATTGATAACATCTTGCATAAGACTGAGGATCATTATGTTCATTATATGGATGGAGATATTGTAATATATGAAATTAATGGGGATGAAGTTGACTATTTTGTTAAAACCTCATTAAGACCTGAAATTGATTTTATATTTCCACCAAATGCATTTGATCCTCATGAGCATCAAACCATCAAAGTAGATTTCAAGATATATGCTACATTTGTAGTAAATTTGGTTGATGATTATTTTGCCTCCTTATCATGGATAGTTGTGTGTTACTTTATGCATATTGTTGTGTGGGTAACAGGAGAAGGACTAAAGGTGCATTGGCTCAACCTTTTGATTCTTATGATTAATAATTTGTGTTGAGCGGTCAAGCTAAAGACCAAAAATAAGCGTTTTGTGGGAGGCAACCCACCAGATGTCCCAGCTCAGATTTCTTAATTTCATTCTTCTTTTTTTGCATCTTCATTTATTTTTTGTTTTTGGTTGTGAAGTTTTCTTTTGGAATTGTTCTCACACTGAGACGGTGTGAAGCAAGTCTGGGGGATGATGTCACTCGTCTACTGATGCAATTTGCTTTTTCTTATGTTTCAATTTGATGTTTTCTTGAGTCTGTCAGTTTGTTTTATTGAGTCAAATCATATCTGTCGTATTGAGTCAAAATGTTGTATGAGAAATATGAGCTTTTCATAGGGAATTGCACCTTGCTTGATTTCATTGCCTTGGGACCATTAAGCATTGTTTAAGGATAACTTGGAACTTCCGGAAAATTCATGACTAGATCACTTGTATAATCCCTCACTTGGAAATTTGGATGATTTGAGCTTAACCTTGCTTATTTGAACTTAATATGGACTTATTATATCTTACTTAGAGGGTTGGTAATCATGTAATGGATCATACATTCAGAGTTTAATCCGCGTTGTTTTACCACTCTTTGTAAAATCTGAATGGCTAGACTCATCTTTAGTCTAGTACCACACCTTTAGCCCTATCCATGCTTCAGACAACATGCATTCGTATGTCATTGTCATTATGTGCATTCATGTGCAAAAACTACGGAGTATACAGGTCGACATAGCTTTCCTTTAATTAGGATTGTAATTGTAGTTGTTTAGGATGATTGACATTGAGTTCTTGTGGTTATATTGTTATATTCATGAGCATGTGCTGTGAGCGATCATGATTGAGTTTTGTTGATGCAGTTTGTGAGACGAGAACCGGTTCCACTCCCCCGTAAAAAAAAAATAAAATAAATAAAAAATAAAATAAAAAAAAAAGAGAAAAGAACGGGAAATGAGAAAGAATGGAACCGGAAAAGTCGATATGTCTTTGGTTGTATTTGAAAAGCATCTATAATACTTATGATTTGTCTGGGATTTGATGTGGTTAAGGTGATCCGAGTTAGAAGGAAGTTATGTATCTTCCAATTGGTCTTTGTCTCACTGTGATTTTGCATAATGTTTCCATCCGTTCGTATTACTGCTGAACGTTAAAC